ATATATATATATGTACATATATACATGTATATATGTACATATATGTATATACATATATATGTATAAACACACAGGCAACCCCCTTATGATATGAGTTCTTAGATAAAAAAAGTATAAAAGCACAGGACTTCGGAAATTTTTCATAATAACTTGAAAAAAAAAAAACTGGACCGAATTGATGCACACGAAAATAAGAACCTTGATCGTGATGGCGACGAGACTGATGTCGATTTCCTTTGTTTCCGTTCCGGAGATGGACTGGTCAGAGAGTGTATTTTTCGCCATCCTTTCCCTTTCCTAAAAAGCGTTGCTAATCTACCAGTGCCCCATGTTATTTTGCATCAACCGCTCAATATTCTAGCAACTGCTGCTTCTGGTTGCCAATCGAAAACTGCTGCACTACGAGTACACACAACCCCAATTACATTTACTTTGACATTTCGAACAGCTGTTAGCTTAACGCTGGTCGGAAAAAGACTGAGGATGATGAAATTAGAAATATGGAGTAGCTATACTGCATTTAGATGCGCGAAATCGTACAAAATAACGAGCAGAAAACAAGATGTTTTCGGTCGACTGGAAATTTCACTTACAGTGTCGGAACAGGGCTTTCCTTTTCTTTATCTCCGCGACTCCACTGCCATTTCGAACCTTCGTGCACTTTCCTGTTACAGTCCACATAAAACGATTCAACGTATGGGCCACCTAGAAAAGGTAAGCGTCACTGTTTATGCATCTGCCGTAATAGCGCTGCCCAGCAGAATAAAAGCGTCGTCTACACAATCAGTCATTCACCTCCAGAGAAACTGTTTCGAAGACAGTAAAAAAATCTCGTAAATATAGGAAACAGTAGGAAAACCAGTGTATAACAAAGAAACAACTACTGAGAAACAAGTGAACCTGGCCGTCTGCGGCTCACGTCGAAGTCTCGCCGCGAGACAGATATCCGTTGCAAGCATCGCAGCTCATCTCTAAAATACAGTGCAATTCAGAAATTTAGTAAAAATAAAAATGAAGAGTAAGACTAAACGTACAGTCCAGGAACGAAACAAAAGGAAAAAACTTTTCGGATTGAAAGAATTGCACTCTTAGAAATGACATATGCATCATACGCATTTACAGATATGTTCATATTTAAAAAGAAGTTAATAACTAAACGTGAGAAAAACGAGAAAACAAAAATATATTCACAAACATAAACTGTCAAAGCAGAAAAATAAATGCGACAGAAAACAAGACTGCCAAGAAGGCATGTTTAATCGACAAGAGAAATTGATAATTCGTGACACTACAATCATGCTTCGAAGATGTGTCAGATATCTCGTCCTCAGGTGTGTGAGATATCTCATCCTTGCCAGTCAAAAAAACTAAAATTATCGAATTAATTCCTCGCAAGCGCTTTCCATTATTGCACGACGTCTGCATTTTGCTTTCTCATGTGTCCGAAATGATATCCTGCATTATGACTTATCTGATGGGCGGTACGACTGTTTATTTGGTGATGAAGAAACACTCAAGATGTAGGTGCCCCTTGTTCTAAACCGTCAGAGGCTGCTTTTCCAGTTAGTTCAGTGGCCATGTTTTGATTCCGCATGTCACGCTTTTCTGCAAACTCGTGAAGATTTGAGCATGTTCCTTTCAGTTCAACGCACTGAGGACATCCACGAAGCTTTGAAAACTGCATCAACTGGCAGCTGTCTTAACTCGCACTCATCGACTAGGCATTGTAACATAAACACGGCTGCCAACTTCTCCCACATCAGTAGCAATCATATTCAATCTCCTCCTCCATTATTCTCATAAAGGACTTTCTTCTCAACGCATTACTCGACTAGTCCACACATTCGTACACCGCAATAAATATCACTTCTTTAAGTATTTCCCCTCTACTGACCCTTGTTGTCGAGATCTGGTGCGCGCTCTTCTGCAATAATTACACCACCCCAATAATCCACACATACGTCGCGTAACCAACATCCCGTCCATAACGCTGCTTTCTCCTCGACACACGATAAAAATATTTCCAGCAATGTCAAACACAAAGCGTGCCAAAACCAATGGTGATAATGCTGCGCCGAGAAACCACACCAGCCACAGGACGTCCACCGAGGTACCTTTCGTCTTACAACATTTTTTTAAACCTCGGAACTCTAATTTTATAATTAACAAACTCCATTCCTTCCTTTCTTCTCCCTTTTTCTCTCTTTCTTTTCCCACTTTTCTTTCTTCTTTTTCCTCCTTTTTCCTCTCTCTTATATTCCCTCCCTTCCCCCTTATCCCTGAACACCGCGACCGTCATACTGACGAGGTCCAGT